AAGACAGGCTGGGCTCTGTGCAGATGGTGACACAGAAGTGGATAATTCCAGCGCAGATCTCTCTCCAAGCTCTAGGCCTACTCATCCACCTCTGTCCAAAGAGGAAACATCTATTTGGATGTTTCCAAAAGCACCTTGAACATAATCCATTTAACACTGAATCTGCCAACTATCCTTCCTCCCCCAAATTCCTTCCTCTACAGTATTGTATTTCATTTTTTTAAAAATTTTTGAAGATTTTATTTTCTTCTTTAAAGTAATCTCTACACCCAATGTGGGGCCTGAGCTCACAACCCTGAGATCAAGCGTTGCACGCTCCTGCAACTGAGCCAGCCAGGTGCCCCAGTATTTTCTTTAATTAATTAATTTATATTTTACAGTTTATTTACTTTATTATTATTATTATTATTATTTTTAAATAATCTCTACACCCAATATGGGGCTTGAACTCACCATCCTCAGATCAAATATCTCGTGTTTTTCCTACTGAGCCAGCCAGGCACTCCCTCCTCTGCAGTATTTTAAACTCACTGCTTCATATCTTTTCCCATTGACTTACTCATAACGTAGTGTTACCTTTTCACGCCCTGCCTCCGCAAAGTCACCCGATCCCATAGTCCCTACCTCCGAAGTCTTTCTCAAATCCTTCTACTTTTCTCACATCCCAGTGCCTCTACCCTAGGTCAGGCCATCATCCTTCTTACTAAACTGCCAACTGATCTGCTGTCTAGACTCTCTGCATTGTCTAATCCTCTTTACTACAGCCTGAGTCATTCCTATAAACACTCCCTGTTATACCGCTTAGACATTCCCATTGTCCCTTAGAATTTTTTCTCCTGACTCCATACCCGGTACTGTCCAGCCATCAGATTCATAGCGCTAGACAGGCTAAAAAAGGGAAGTACTAAGATCAATTAGTTCAAATTTTCTGGGGTTCACCCTTGTCCCCATTGTGACTTCTGGTCCCTTTACTGCTGCCTGGAAGCAGTATTGTCACCAGAATAAGAACCTCCTGTGGATACCACCCAATGGCTGAGCCAGTTCCCCTTTGAGGGCATGAGAGAACCACGGAACCCTAAAATGCACACTTCCAAAACCAAGACCCTCAGGGATTGGCTCTGAGTTTCATGTTTTCAACACAGGGATCGATGGAAGGAAAAGCTCCCTGACCTGAGAAGAATGTCTGTCTTGGGTTTCCTTTCCTTCAAGGGCTCCTTGCTTTAATTCTTGCTGTCCTACGCTTACCTTTTTCCTAGGATACACTCATCCACTTTAAAACCCAGGACCTCCTTAGAATAGCTGAGACAGGCTGGCCTTTTTCCAAAAGAATTTTACTACATAAGTTAATGAAAGAAAAGGAAAAAGAGAGAGAGTGAAAGAAGAAAGATACAGTCTTTTATCCAAAGCCTGGCATCTACTTTCAGATTAATTACATTCTACACTCCCCTGACCCAGCCCCTCCACCCAAGTTCCTTTCCTGAGTTCAATTATCACAAAGCTTCCAAACTCTATGACCATCTCCATAGATCCTAATGAAAACTCTCTCCTCAGGGATGCCTGGGTGGCTCAGTCGGTTAAGCGGCTACCTTCAGCTCAGGTCATGATCCCAGCATCCTGGGATCGAGTCCTGCGTTGTGGTCCTTGCTGGGCAGGGAGCCTGCTTCTCCCTCTGCCTGCCATTCTGCCTCCCTGTGCTCACTCTCTCTGACAAATAAATAAATAAAATTTAAAAAAAACAAACCACACAAAAACCAAACAAAAATGACTCCATCCTCAGACTGACAAAAACCAACTCTGTCCCATCTACTGCTTTCTTGAATATGCGTTTCTCTTCAGCTAAGTGGTGAGATGCTAGAAATTGACACAGGAAGGGCCTGGGCCCTTAGGTAATCCCTTATCACGATTCTTCAATCACAACAGCCATGTCGGGAAATTTTACCCACAGGAGGCTGGATTTGCCCTGGGATTTCTGGCAAGGTCTGAGAGACACCTCTTCTTTAGCAGTGAGGATGGCTGGAATAGGGAGAAGGGACCTAACATGTAGAAAGTTCTTAACATGTGCTAAATTCTTTATATAATTAAATTTTTAGCATAAGCTTTGGCCCTAGGTGTCAATCCCTAATCATATTTTGAAGAATTTGAGGCTCCAAGGGGTTAGAATCTTGCTCTAGGTCTTAAAGCTAAACCGTCAAATTAGGAGTGAAGTTTGGGTTGGTTGAGGACACGGTTGTGACCTGAATCATGCAGCCTATGGAGATAGAGGTGCCTTTGCTGTCTTTGAAGGTTAAGACTTTTCCACCTTTTGTCTGATTTGAGGATTTCTTTTAATCTCCAAAATTCACTGAACTCCCACATGGCAGATCCCTTTTGGTATTCAGAGGTATGTAAGTTTCATAGACAAAGTACCTCGCATTCAACTCAGTACCTAGATCCCTAACGATATCGAGCCCGTCATTCGTTGGTTATTTATGCTGTCAGATACTGAGCATGTCCTATGTAGAAGTCACTGGCCCAGGAGCTAGAGGTAGAAGAGGTTGAACATACAGAATCTGGAAGAAGGAAAGGCCCTGGGTTCTGGTGCCATCATCCTTCTTGCTTCTCCCCCCAAGTCTCTGAGGCCTTTCCTGGGGGGCTTCTGGATAAGGCTGCTCCTAAGGGGGAGGAGGTGGGTATGGATGGAGGGAGTTTTCTTGGCTCCTTACGCCCATTTACTATAGTGAGTACAGTCACCACAAACACCTGGTAAGGTGCACAAAGCTGGGGAAATGAGACAGAAATCCAGAACTAATAGAAATAGAGAAATATTTTGAAGGGGAGAATTTGTTCATTTACTTAAAAATAATAGACAAACCCTCTAAAGCTTGTGATGCATTTCTTCGTGGTTTATGGTTTTCAGGGGGCCTTTTCACTTGGAGAAATTCTTCTGGGTTTAGAGAATGCTAGACCAGAGGAAAGGGCAGAATTATAATCCTAATACTGCTACCAGTTTGCTGGATGATTCCCGGAGAATTATTCAACCTATTTATGTGTCAGCACAGAAATGGAGAGAGCGATGTCAGATATGTCACAATATGTTTTCTGTGGGATCTCCAGTAAAAGGATTATGATAAACAACAGCTATTCTGTGTGCATAACAGAACACTTCTGCTTTTTTTTCCCCCCTCTGGTTCAGAAGAGCTGACACAGGCTCACATTGTACCCATGGCATAAAACCCTTGGGAATTTGAAACTTTATGGAGTTAATAAAATCAACAGACACCTGTTATTTGCATAGTGCTCTATGCTGAATGGTTTATAAAGTATTTTCATATATTATCACAACTGATCCTCACCCCACCTGCAGAATGGAACTAAAGTTCCTATTTTATACCTGAAGAAACTTGGGTCACACAAATCATCCAGGTAATTCAGGCAAAGGTGACTTATTTTTTTACTTTGCCTAAACTACGTAGAAAATTATTCTTGTCACTTTAATAATTTGTGATAATGGACCATCGCAAATGCCATCGCCATACAAACAAAACACAATCTTCTTTTCTAGGGACATTGCCCATCCCTGCACAGACTCCACACCCAGAGTCACCAACATGTAGCTACTGTAAATCACCAGCAACTCCAAACCCAGCCCACAACAGTGAGGGATCATCTTTTCCAGGATGGTACAACAATGTCTGGGAGTAGTTTGGAATGGATTGGCTTTTTATTTTTTTTAACTTAAAATAAAATTTTTAAAAAGACTTATTTGAGAGTAAGAGAGTAGGCACAGGAGAGCATGGGGGTGGGGCCAGCAGGGGAGGGTAGGGGTAGGGGTAGAGAGAATCCCAAACAGGCTTTCCACTGAGCATGGAGCCCACCGGATCCCAGCCCCTGAGGTCATAACCTGAGCCAAAATCAAGAGTCAGATACTCAACTGACTGAGCCACCCAGGCGCCCTGGGTTGGCTTTTTAAAAAAGTTGTTTGCGTTCACTTGGGGGATTGCCAACTAAGATTCAACTCAGTTTGGTTTTTTGTTTGCTTCTGTGAGGGAATGGAGGCTGAGAACACAGGGAATGCTTAGAGAATTAGCATGGGAAAATAATGATTTAAAAGCTTTAGGCACATAACTAATTAGCAGTCCATCAATAGCAAGGTGACTGAAACTATCTGCCCCTTTGTGTGTGTGTGTAGGGGGGCGGTAATGGTAAACGGGTAGGGCCTTGCTCCCGTATTGGCAAAAAGGGCCGCTTGTCCTGGCGGGGCAGCACCATATATAGGCCTCTAGAGGCAAGCCTCAGCGTGTGCGGGAGTGTGTTCTGTTCAGCCCAGTTTTGGGGTGAACGCTGATAGATCTGTCAATGCAGTTGGGGTGAACTTGGGAGGGGCTCAGTTTTTCTAGACTCGTCCCAGCAGGGTCTCTTCCTGGTGAAGCTGGTAGCACCTGGGGTCCTCCTGGCCCCAGGGTATGCAGGTTCCAGGCCCTCCGCATTAACATCACCGCGATGAAGGTGCTCTGCTGCGTGCACTTATTTGTTTCCAAGTGTTTGCCCCAGGCAGGCACCCACGTGCTCGAGGTCTCGCAAACAAGGGCTCCCCAGGGACAGAGCAGGGAGTTAGACCTGTCTAGGGGTCGCCAGGTGACAGGGTACACTGGCGGGGGCGGTATGGGCTCGGGAGAGTCTGAGCTCCTGCCCCCACCCCAATTATCCAACAGCTCCTGATCTGCGTTCGCCAGTACAGGCCTCCGCTTCGGCCAAGACCCTTGCCCTAGGGTCCTCCACTTCCAGCGAGGGCCCCCGAACCGCCGCCCTCCCCAGGTCCCCGCAGGCCCCGCAGCGACCTCCCCCGGCCCGGCCCTCACGGCCGTGCCGGCCCGTCGCTGGGGGGCGGGAACCTACCCCCACCCCTCGGCGTCCCCTCCCCTTCACTTCCCCCTCCCCTCAGTCCCTCCCTCCCCTCCCCCCCGTGGCGAGGCGGCGGCGGCGGCGGCGGCGGCGGAGGCTGAGGCTGAGGCGGCGGCGGCGGCGGCGGCGGCGGCGGGCGGGGCTCGGCTCGGGCTCCGCGGGCGGGCGGGCGGACATGGCGGCCAACATGTACCGGGTCGGAGGTAGGAAGGCTCGGCCCGACCCGGCCCGTTTGGGAGCGGGCTCCGGGAGTAGGGGATCCGGGCGAGTTCACCTTAACCGCCGGGAGCGGCGGGCGCCCGGGCTGAGGGCGCAGGGGCGGGGGGCGCCGGGGCCCGCAGAGGGGGCCGGGGCTCCCCACCCCCGCCACCCGCCCCTCCCCCGACCGTGGCCCGCCGGGGGCCGGCGCCCACCCTCCCCCTCCGCTCCCACCCCCGCTCAGTTTTCTAGGGCCAGGCCTGTACTTGGGGGGTGTGAATTCTCAGACGCCCCCTTCCAGGACGCCCCCATTGGGTATCGGCCGTCGAGCCCCCTAATAGGGTGGTCTTTCCCCGCGTGGCTTTCAGGCAGTGGGGGGTTGGAGGGGACCGGGGAACATCCTGGCTCTACTCCTCCCCTTCAGTGGGAGTGTGGGGTGGGGGCGATGGGGGCAGAGCCAGGGGCACAGCTGGACAGGCCTGTTTGCGGGGACAGGGCCCTGCACCTCTCCTTCCTCACTCCCCCTCCCGTTTCTTGCCCAGCCCCCCAAGATGGGGCATAGTGGGGCCGGGGCACTGCAGCCAGAGGTGGGGAGTTGAGCTCTGCCTGGACGTTTGCTCTGGTGACTGCCTCCTTCCCAACCTTCTGCAGAAGAGAGAAATAAGGTCAAACAAACTTTCTCCCTACTCACGACGCCCTCCTCCCTCTTTCTTGGTAAAATAATAATTCAGATAAGTGGCGTGTTTGTGTGTGAGACTTGCTCTTCTCTGCTCATTAGCTGAGCTCCTGATAGATGGTGATGGGAATGGCCTGGACAAATGAGGCCAGTTTGCAGAAGAGAGACTGGAAAGTGCCACTAAGATAGACAATAACAATGCAGCCCAGCCTTTCAAATAAACACACAGTGGGAAGTTTCCAGGGAGCCTATTACATGAGAGGGAAAGCCACACTTGAAAATTTTTATCTTTTTTTATTGAAAGCCTGCAGTGATTTCTTTATAACAGGACCCTAAATGGATCTGGATTAAATTTGGTAAAAGAGCCTAACAAAATCCCGATATCATCTCCAGAGAGCTCTTTCAGAAAGGGAACCCCCTTTCATGCCCACCCCCAATCATCCCAAATAGAGCTGTGGAAAAGTTTGTCAATGTGTTTCCTCTCACCTACTCTGCTCACCTGATTTTTTTTTTTTTAAGTTGGTGATTGAAATGTACTTTGGGCTGCTAAGCTTTTCAAGATGCTCTGAATTTGTCTTAGGTCAATAGTTTCATGTGAGAAACATACTCCAGGGTAAATTGGATTGGAGGGAAAAGATGTGGAAGCAGTTATAGCATGAAAGACATGTTTAGTCAGCCCGGACTACTCCGTGATGAGAAGAGTCTTTTTGTTTATTAGTAAAGAAGTGATGTGTGGCTCGAAATACTAGGAGAACTTGATAACACGTTAATTGAAATGAAAATGCCAGGAAAATAAGGGTCTGTGAATAGTAGGCATATGAGAGAATATATTAAAGTTGTATTGCTTTTCCCCGGGAATGAATTACGCGCTTCATTTTGAATGTGCATTGCCTAATAGAGAAAGTCATAGATTGACAAATGTGAACTTTCTGTTGAAAAGATTAATAAGCTCTTTATTTCCTTTAATTACAGATTATGTCTACTTTGAGAATTCCTCCAGTAACCCGTACCTAATCAGAAGGATAGAAGAACTCAACAAGGTATATATACACTGAGTGTTCAGGATTTTAATATTAAAAAATAATTGTTTTCCATTGAAGGGTAATTAGGTAAAGGGCATAAGGGGTGATTTTACTTTCATTCCTAGACTCTTTGAAAGTAGCGATTGCAGAGTAGACAGTCATGCAGAATTCTGAATATTCTATTGCTTTGTATAATTACCTATGATATTAAATGTTACGAAGTATTTAACATCTGCAGATTTCCTCAGATTGCTGAGAGCTTCTCAAGGCAGGGCACTCCTGTAACTCAATCCCTTTTTACATTTAAAGTCATAATTGTTTTTATCCCTTTTTGGTGGATTATTGTTTTCCTCTTCTAGCTTTAGAAGGAGGAAGCTAGGAAATAAAGTATTAAAGGGAATTTATAAAATTTTGGATTAGACTGACTAATAAGAATACAGTTTTGGTATAATGTAAAGTAGCTTCCTACTTTAGGCCTTAAGTAAATAAAACTTTTATATTAAGGTTTGTTTCTGATTGCTTGTGTCTAGGACATCAGAAACATTGTGACTTTGCAATAGGTGAGCTTTTATAATGGGGGCATATGAAAAGTCATAAACAGTATGAACCATGGATTACTAATGGTGCTCTGGTTTCCTCCCAACCAGCTTTGAAGGTTATTTGTATAGCTTATGAGAATTCCTAGTGTTAAAATGTTGGGGGCTGTCTAGCTATACATTTCCCCCAAAGTACCATGTAGAGATTGGGCCAGTTCTGAGTCCCAGGAAGCAAAGTCTGATTTAGGGCATTTCTAGTTTATGAATGCTGAGTTTTGTTTGTTTGTTTGTTTAAGATTTTATTTATTTATTTGATGAAAAAGAGAGAGAGAGAGAGAGTGTGTGTGTGTGTGTGTGTGTGTGTAAGCAGAGGCAGTGGCAGGGAGAGGGAGAAGGAGGCGCCCCGCTGAGCAGGGAGCCTGATGTGGGGCTCTATCCCTGGACCCTGGGATCATGACCTGAGCCAAAGTCAGATGCTTTGCTGGCAGAGGCACCCAGGCACGCGATGAACCCTGAGATCTTGATTTGCTTCTGGAGAGATCCCCATGGACCTTGCATTTATTAAAATTCTGCTGTATTTGAGACCACCACCAGCAAATGAAGAGAATGGCTTTAGGATTAGATCAGTCTGTGGGTGGAAAATGTTGGAGCATTATTCTGATCTTCTCTTTTATGTTATTGACGTATAAGAGTGTAGCAACTTGAAACTGTTTATCAGTTTATTTAGAAAATTAATTAGGATACAAAGAAAAATGTTGGCCTATGAGATGTATTCTCTGGAGGCTCCCTGTCCCTCTGACCTCCATTCTTACTGCTCTCCGCCTTGCTCCTTTAGCTCCAAGCACAGTAGACTCTTGGCTGTTTTCACATGCATATACCTTAGGGCCACCAAGTTGTTTCTAATCCCCTGTGCCTTGCTCTGCCTTGCTCTTTTCTCCATATCATTTATCACCTTCCAGTATACTTCCTTATTGTGTTTATTTTCATTGCCCATTTTCCCAGACTAGAATGTGAGCTCTGTGTGAGGTGATCTTTGCTGTTCACTAGTGCATCCCAAGTGCCTTAGAATAAGTGACTGGCACATAGTTAAGGCGTTCAGTAAATATTTGTTGAATTAATGAATTTCTCAAATGTCTGACGTTAATGCTTGCATGTAGCTTTACCGTTTACAAAGTATTTTGATTCATCCATTTTACAGATATTTCTGAGGACCTGCTACCTGTCAGGCATTTTTAGATATGTACTTTTAGGAATTCAAGGGTGAACAAAAATAGGTCTGGTAGTGGAGACAAGCATCAGCCAAATAATCCCACAAGTAGAAGGAAAATTGCAGCTGTGCTAAATTTGCAAACATCAGATCATGGTGTTCTGGAAGCATATGATCTGGGGATTCATATTTTTACTTTTTTTTTTTTTTTTGAGCCTCAGAATAACCTTAAACCTTTAGGATAGATGCATCATGGAGTTGTGAAGGACACAGTGGTTAAGTGACTGGGTTGTACATCTGGCTTGAACCTGGCTCATTTCACACTCCTTTATCATTATAGTACTCTTCACTCCAGAAGTATCCCTCACTCTCCATCCTCACCTTCTTCCTGGCTGTCTGCTTTCAGCAGAGAGTCCTTAATATATTAATGGTTTTATGCAGGCTGGGGAGGACTGAATTATGAGAGAGGAGTCTGTACTTTCAGATGGTAGCAGTTTGAATGAATGGATTATTGGTGAATAAGTCAGATTGGCTAAATACTAAATATTTACATAGGGCCATTTAAAAAAAATTATTTATTTGGAAGCAAGAGACTAAGCGAGAAAGAGAACATGAGCCGGGGGGAGGGACAGAGGGAGAAGCTGACTCCTTGCTGAGCAGGGAGCTTGATGTGGGGCTCCATCCTGGGACTCCAGCATCATGACCTGAGCCAAAGGCAGACGCTTAACCGACTGAGCCACCCAGGCATCCCATACATAGGGACTTTCTTTCTTTTTTTAAAAAATGTTTTTTTTTATTTGTCAGGTAGAGAGAGAAAGAGATAGTACAAGCAAGGGGAGCAGCAGGCAGAGGCAAAGGGAGAAGCAGGCTCCAGACTAAGCAAAGAGCCCAATGCAGGACTAGATCCTAGGACCTGAAGGCAGATACTCAACTGACCGAGCCACCCAGCCATCCAATAGGGCCTTTATTTCTGAAATAATGTGGAAAAGATATCTTATTTTAAATAATTCATTAAACAAATATTTATTGAGTACCTGTTATGTACCAGGCACTAGACTAGGCTCAGATATACAACAGTGAACAATATAGACATGTTTTCTGCCCACACAGGGTCTCCATTCTCATGGGGGGGGTGGGTACATGAAAAGGCAAGTTAACAGGCATAAAGAAAATAGCAAAAATGATGTTACCTTTTTTTTTTTTTTTAAGATTTATGTATTTACTTGAGAGAAAAAATATGAGTAGAGGGAGAGGCAAGGGGAGAGGTAGAGAGAACCTCAAGCGGATGCTGTGCTGAAGAGGGAACTTGACTTGGGACTTGATCTCATGACCTGAACCAAAACCAAGAGTCAGAAGCTTAATAGACTGTGCCACCCAGGCATCCTGATGTTAACTTTTAAGAAGGACATAAACAAGAGCCTTGACTTAGGGAATAGCAGAGGTCCCTTCTTTTGGATAGAAAAGGAAAGGATTTCAAGGACATTGAAGTTGAGGCCTAAAGAATAAGAAAGAGGTAGCCATGGGAGAGAGGCCACATCAGTGTTCCAGATAAAGGCCCTGAGAGGATCAGAGGTTAAGTTGGCAAAGTAGGGAAAGTTAACATGATGGGAAATCCAAATAATGAATTTAAGAACACTTGATATATTCTAATCAAGCCAGGATAGGAAAAGACATTAACCTAGAGGCTCCTGGCTGGGTCATTTGGTAGAGCATGTGACTCTTTTTTTTTTTTAAAGATTTTACCCATTTATTTGACAGACAGAGACCACAGGTTGGCAGAGAGGCAGGCAGAGAGAGAGAGGAGGAAACAGGCTCCCCGCTGAGCAGAGAGCCTGATGCGGGGCTCGATCCCAGGACCCTGGGATCATGACCTGAACCGAAGGCAGAGGCTTTAACCCACTGAGCCATCCAGGCGCCCCGAGCATGTGACTCTTGATCTTGGAGTCATGAGTTTGAGCCCTGCATTGGGTGTAGAGATTACTTAAATCAAAAAAATTAAAAAAAAAAAAAAAAAAAGGACATTAACCTATTTTATTAGCTATCTTCTTGGAGTTTATATATTTTTAGAAATCTGTACACCCAAAGTGGGGCTTCAACTCAGGACCCTGAGATCAAAAACCAAGTGCTCTGCTGACTGAGCCAGCCAGGAGCCAGGTGGCCCCTGTTAATTATCTTCTGGATAGAATGTGTTTTTGTAACAGAATTCCTAGGATAAGCTGTCAGTCACCATTGTTATAGACAATTCACTTTTTTTTTTTTTTAAGATTTTATTTATTCATTTGACAGAGCATAAGCAGGGGGAGCAGCAAGCAGAGGGAGAGGGAGAAGCAGGTTCCCCACTGAGCAGGGAGCCTAACGACTTGGAGATCAGGGCTCAATGGCTCCATCCCAGGAACCTGGGATCATGACCTGAGCTAAAAGCAGATGCTCAACCAACTGGGCCACCCAGGTGCCCCCAAAATTCACCTTTACAGAATGGATTCTGGTTTTTAAAAAATCCTATTTGAAATGTTACTTGTTCAGGGGTGCTTGGGTGGCTCAGTGGGTTAAGCCTCTGCCTTCAGCTCAGGTCATGATCTCAGGGTCCTGGAATCGAGCCCCGCATCGTCTTTCTGCTCAGCAGGGAGCCTGCTTCCTCCCCCCTCTCTGCCTGCCTCTCTGCCTACTTGTAATCTCCATCTGTCAAATAAATAAATAAAATCTTTAAAAAAAAAAGAAAAAGAAATGTTACTTGTTCAGTTTGAAAGCTGGACTACAGTATTTCATTTTTTAAAATTAAAGTAATAGCTTTTTAAAAAAGATACTATTTTTAAGTAATCTCTACACCCAACACGGGGCTCAGATGCACAACCTCGAGATCAAGAGTTGCACTCTCCACCAACTGAGTCAGCCAGATGTCCCTGGTAATAGATTTTTGTCTCAGTTTTTTTCCCTAAAAGTTTTGGAAACTTTGAGGTGCAAAAGTAAGTATCAGTTGATGAGCACAGTTCAATGTTGATTATCTTGTATTCCCTTTTTTCTTCTCTCGTAATTTGTACTCAGATATTATGAAGGTGATCTTTTGGAGGATGAATATAAGATTAAAATTATGAAAACAACTTTTGGTAAATTTTATTTAGTCACTGTTTAGGTTGGGTGTTCTTGTAAAGATTGTGTCTTGCATGCATGTGAGAGAAAGCTGTGGGCTCATAGTAACAGTATAGTTTCAGGAAGTTTTGGAAGTTAAGCTCGTGAAAAAATTAGCATGTTACTTGCTATTTTTGTTTTGTTTTTGATGCGTATTTTGTAAAACTTGTGTGTACCTTCATACTCTGTACATTTTATTGGCCATCTGACTTGTTATGAGATTCATTTTACCGTTTTGTGCCTTCTGTCATTTTGGTTGGGAGAGGGGAGTCACTAATTTCTTTGAGTGTTTGATGATACCCTCTACCTCTATCTGCATTTGCACATAGAGGAATTTGCACATAGTTTCAGGAGATTCCCTCATGAAACCCAAGGTCAGACACCTCTTCCCACTTGGGATCTCTTGGGGATAAGGACAGAAATCGGGAAAGGAAAGTCACTTTTCCCTTGTTCTTTACTTTAGGCAAACCACGCACTTTCTGAAATGGAAAGTGTATGTGTAGTGGGTTTTTTGCTTTGTTTTTGTTTTAATAATGTTTCCTAAGTTGGGATAGAAACAGACATGAGTGAAAGGTTGACTAAAATGATTTTAGGGGCACCTGGGTGGCTCAGTGGGTTAAAGTCTCTGCCTTTGGCTCAGGTCATGATCCCAGGGTCCTGAGATTGAGCCCCGCATCTGTCTCTCTGCTCAGCAGGGAGACTGCTTCCCCCTCTCTCTCTGCCTGCCTCTCTGCCTACTTGTGCTCTCTCTCTCTCTGTCCAATAAATAAATAAAATCTTAAAAAAAATGATTTTAGAGCTTAAGAAAAGCCCCTTATCAATAGAGGATATTTTAGTAAATGTGCTTGACAGAATAGGGATTTAAGAGGCTACAACCAAATGGAGAAAAGAACACGGCAAGGAAATTGCTGTCATTGTGGCTTCATCTTTTTTATTTTTTTAAGGATTTATTTATTTATTTGGGAGAGAGAGAGCTCCCATGCCCCATGAATGGTGGGGAGGGGCAGAGGGAGAGGAAAAGAGAATCTCCAGCAGATCCCCTGCTGAATGTGGAACTGGACACTAGGGCTCCATCTCCAACCAACCGCTTAACTGACTACCCCACTCAGGCACCCCCTCTTTTTAAAAAATTTTTAACCTTTTTTTTAATTTTAAGATTTTTATTTATTTATTTGACAGAAATCATAAGTAGGCAGAGAGGCAGGCAGAGAGAGGGGTAGCAGGCTCCCTACTGAGCAGAGAACCCGATGTGGGGCTCGATCCCAGGACCCTGGGATCATGACCTGAGCCGAAGGCAGAGGCTTTAACCCACTGAGCCACCCAGGCACCCTTCAGGCACCCCTTTTAAGGTTTTAAGTAATCTCTCCATCCAGTGTGGGGCTTAAACTCACGACTCTGAGATCAAGAGTCACATGCTCTACCAACTGAGCCAGCCAGGAGCTTCTAACCTAGGTGTTTAGAGCGGTACATGGCAAACTATTTGTGCTGAAAGATTTTTAAGAAGGTTCACTATCTCAAACTGCTTTTATAAAGTAAAATTAAAAAGAAAATAGAAAAATGAAGTTCACAAGTCTTCTTTTTCCTTTTTTTTTTTTTAAGATTTTATCCATTTATTTGACAGAGAGAACACAAGTAGGCAGAGGCAGGGTGGGGGGAAGCAGGCTCCCCGCTGAGCAGAGAGCTGGATGCGGGCCTCGATCCCAGGACCCTGAGATCATAACCTGAGCCGAAGGCAGAGGCTTAACCCAGTGAGCCACACAGGCACCCAACAAAGAAATAGGGAAAGAGGAATACTGTAGTTATAAAATACCTAAAAGCTAAGCGTGTGTATCGTTTAGAAGAGACTGTTTATTTTGAACTATGCCCCTCTACCTCAAGCAGGTTTAAATAAGAATTTAATTAGTTTTGTAGAGTATTCCTAGTGGAGGAACTCACTAAAGAGGTAGGAAAAAATATGCCTTTAAATGCTTGCTTTGGGTTTTGAACATGCTTTTGTCTTAAAACAGAACTGATAAAGAGCTTGTAATCATAGTCATTTGATAGATTTTATTTACAAGAAATACTAGCCTGTTCATTTATTAGATTGCTGGATCATTACTTTTGGAGGATGTATTTGATCACAATATTGTGAAATATAGAAGCACTTTGGTTAGGATTTAATATGATTTCAATTCAAAGGGACAATATTTCTCCATAACTATTTCTCACTCTAAAATACTGCTGCTGAACTTCATAAAATCGACACATTTACTGCAGCATATGTATATTCTTATTTCTTTATGTCTGAATATATCTGCAAGTCCAGAGAAATTCTGAAAATTTGTTCTCAAATTTTTTGGAAAACTGGAATTTGACTGTAATCTGTGTGTTTCTACAAGGAACTTCGTAATGAATGATTGACCTTGAAAGTTCTCAGAATTCATAAGGAATAGGAGAGTAGGAGCCTGGGCCCCAGCTGCAGTAAATTACAACCTAACTGAATATTGGTTCTATTCTAGACGGTAGTCAAAAATAAATAAGAGCTTCAGTGTTCATAACTCAAAGTTTTTAATACTTTCACTTGTGAAGATAAAGAAACTGAGAATATTGACTATTACGGATTCATAGATGTACCTGGGCTGGAGAATGCTTTTCTGAGTGGTCTGTTCCATTCTGGGCGATGGCTCCCCGCATTCACAGAGCTTCACCATCATGTTGAGGAGGGGGCTGCGTGATTTTACTCTTAGCCTATGCTTCTGGGAGTGGGTTTGGAGGAGATATGTTTAACTGTCTTGAATAAGTTACATTGTGGCTTTTAAAATTTGGGGTACTAGTTTCTCAAGGCTGATCAGATTTCACTCTCTGGCTCATTAAAGCGATCTGATCACTTTAGTTTAATTAATGCCAGTAAGTTATTGTATGTTTGACATTTCGGTTTCACTTGGAACCTTTGCAAATGCTGCTTATCCTCATTTAAATTTTTTAGCTCTCTGATTATCCCGCAGTTGGGGTTGGCACACTATAAATGAGAGTGTTCTTATAATTGTATTGTATTTAGTTTTGTTTTATAAACTATTTGAGTCTACTATTCAGTACACATAACTTTTATTTTTCTTATTTCTTAGACTGCAACTGGCAACGTGGAAGCAAAAGTAGTGTGCTTTTATAGACGACGAGATATTTCGAACACGCTTATAATGCTTGCAGACAAGCATGCTAGTAAGTTAATTGTCTTTTTAATTTTTTTTGGAAAATTAAAAAATGTTTTAAGGTTTTTGTTTTCTGTGATAGGAGAAAAAATACTTTTTGTATCACATGTAGCTTTTTGCTTTCCCATTTGCCTTCCTCTTAGTTTAGATGGGAATAATTTTTTGGGTGGTGCTCAGTTTTTAGTATGTATTTTCTTAGGTTGCATCACATGTATATTAGTCAATACATTGAAATAGAACTCTTTGTAAGTAGGCTTCCGCAGACAATCAGGGTAGTGTTTTGCCATCTGCAATTTTCAGTGGTGGTTTTGAAAAGATTTAATATGAGGACATTTGTACTTTATTGGTATTTTGGAGGACATTTTTCCCCTTCTAAAGCAACTGGGTAATAGTTACATTTTAAAAAGTTCTAATTATTTATTATATGTATATAGAATTAGGTATGTATGAGAAAAAGGTTTGCCAGAAAAAGAAGTGCAAAGTGATATTTAGATATGGTGAATTCCAATAGATAGCAACTCTGAGCCCTTGTTTGTAGATTAACCTTTATTTTATGTTTTTCCCCCATTCAACAGCTTTGACATATTTTAGCTCCTTTTGTTATTTTTTTATTTTAAACTTTTTCATTTTACTTATCTCTTAAAAGATTTTATTTTAAAGAAATCTCTGTACCCAGGGCACCTGGGTGGTTCAGTGGGTTAAGCCTCTGCTCATGTCATGATCTCAGGGTCCTGGGATCAAGCCCTGTGTTGGGCTCTCTGCTCAGTGGGAAGCCTGCTCCCCCCCGACCCCCGCCTGCTTCTCTGCCTACTTGTGATCTCTGTCTGTCAAATAAATAAATAAAATCTTAAAAAAAAAAAAAAAAATCTCTGCACCCAACATGGGGCTTGAACTCACAACCCCGAGATCAAGACTCACATACTCTGCTGACTGAGCCAGCAGGTATTCTACCCCTTTGAGTTTTAAAACGACAAACCGAATCATAAAGAAAAAAAAAAGTGATTTAAATTTTAAGAAAGAAGAAATATGTGGAATATGAGTACTTTATTTTGAAGCCATTTTCATGCTACAAAATATATGAGACTAGGACCATATGTATGTGTCTTTTTCAGTTTGACACTGATTTGTAATGCTCTGGTCTTGTAGATCCTGAAGCTTTTGAAGGTTTTGGTAAGGGAGGCTATCATGTGCACAGGTTTGTTCTGTGTCTGTTTGATAATCACTTCTCCACTGGATCACTGGTTTGATCAGGCAGATTGGTTGTTGCACAAGTTAAATTCCTACTATATTTTCTGCTGTAGTTCATAGTGTTTTCTTTTTTTTAAAGATTTTATTTTTTTATTTATTTGAGAGAGAAAAGAGAGAAAGTGTGGGGGCGGGGCAAAGGGAGAGGGAGAGAGAATTCCAAGCTGACTCCGAGCTGAGTGTGGAGCTCAAGTCCAGAACCTTAAGACCATGACCTGAGCTGAAATCAGGAGTCAGACACCTAATCACTAAGCCACACAGGTGCCCATGTAGTTCATAGTGTTTTAAAATTTCTTTCTATTTTTTTTCTTTAGAAAGAATGATATGAGTTCCATAATATTTATAATTTATATATTGACAGATTTAGGGCATTTATATCTGTCTATCTTGTGTGAGACCAAAATACTCCTTTTTTTTTTTTTTAAAGATTTTATTTATATATTTGACAGGCAGAGATCACAAGCAGGCAGAGGCAGGCAGAGAGAGAGGAGGAAGCAGGCTCCCTGCTGAGCAGAGAGCCCGATGCGGCGTTTGATCCCAGGACCCTGGGATCATGACCTGAGCCGAAGGCAGAGGTTTTAAAAAATCTGAGCCACCCAGGCGCCCCCCAAAATACTCCTTTTTCAAATGACATACTAATCAGTTATTTTAGCTGTAGCTAAAGTTTATGAATTCAGTGTGTTGTAATAGTGGCTTTGTAAAATTATTTGGATTTTATTTACCATTTACAACATAAGCTTAAGAAAAATAAAATGTCTCATTAATACTCATATACTTCTGGATTTAATTTAGCTTTTAATGTAGCTTCTAAAGTTGCTGCAGCAAAGGTAGTGTAGTATAAAGATTGTTAGGGGGTCTGCTGACTGTTCATGGAAGCTTGTAGATGTAGAAAATCAGAATTGATTAGGCTCTTGGTATTGACTCTTAGAAACTAAATTTAAGAGATTTAAGAGTCAATCAAATAATTTAATGGCAAGCAAGTAGTTTAGAGAAAGTCCTGGGTTCAGATTCTGCTTTGCTAGTTTGCTGCTTTGTCTTGGGAAAATTCTTAATTTCTTATTTCCATTCTCCTCATGTGTAAAATGAGATTGAAAAAAAAATCACCTCATTTGTGTTATATATATATTTTACCAAAATTAGAAAAAATTGTGCCAGCATTGATGTGAGGATTAAATGATCTAAGGTCATAAATAGGTGCTTAATAAACATCAGTTGGTTTTTCTACCTCCTCAGCAATTTGTAGATCACTTGTTTGGGTGGATTACCTCTGTCTGCATTTGTCAGTTTCTTCCATCATTTACTGAGTTTACTCTCAAAGGTGGCGTTGGAAGTATCTTACTGTATTTCTGTTTGGTATTGACCAAAATTTCAGATGGGGAGAATAAAACTGCCTGGATAGTTCTTACTATATAAGAAGGTTTTAAAGGAGGATTATTGGAGAGAGAGTCATACATTGGAAAGATTTCAAAGCTGAACTCCTGGGTGTGGTTGCCACTTAATTTTCCTGAGCCTCAGTTTCTCTGTTTAAAAACCTTTCCATTGTGGACTTCTTTAAACCTTTTTATTACAGAAAATTCCAAACATTCAAAAGTACAGAGAATAGTATAATACCCCTGATGTTTCCATTACTTTTCTTTAATAGTTATCAACAAATGACCAATTAACTCATCTGTACCCCTTCACATCCCCCTATTTTGAAGCTCATCAGTGATATCTTACCATTTCATCTGTTAATATTGCAGTATGTATTTCTAAAAGATACGGTGTCATTCAGAGTGCCAAGAATATACAGGGAACTCCCGCATACTCTTTATCCAGATTCAGCAATTAACATTTTGTCCTATTGACTTTATCATTCTTTTTATATGTATAAACTGAGTTGTTTGAGAGTAAGTTGGAGACTTCAGTTAGCTTTTCCAAATGCAAGGAAATTGTTTTACATAATCAGAGTAGAGTAAACAAGTCAGGAAACCTAATATTCACACAAAACCATTATTCAGGGGCACCTGGGTGGCTCAGTCCTTAAGCTTCTGCCTTCTGCTTGGGTCATGATCCCAGGGTCCTGGGATCGAGCCCTGCATCTGGGCTCCCTGCTTGACAGGAAGCCTGCTTATTTCTCTCTAGCTTTTCCTGCTTGTGTTCCCTCTCTCACGGTCTCTCTCTCTCTCTCTCTGTCAAATAAATAAATAAATGAATGAATGAATGAATGAATCTATCTTTTAAAACAAAAAACAGGAATGCCTGGGTGGCTGAGAGGGTTAAAGCCTCTGCCTTCGGGCTCTCTGCTCAGCAGGGCTTCCCCCTCTCTCTCTGCCTGCCTCTCTGCCTACTTGTGATCTCTGTCTGTCAAATAAATAAATAAAATCTTAAAAAAAAAAAACACACAAAAAACCCCCCATTATTCATAGTCCTTAATCAAATTTCATGTACCAGTGGTGTTCTTTATAGCTATATATATTTTTTCTTAGTTTACAGTAAAATCCAGACTCATTGTACTTTATTGTCGCTTCTCCTTGTTATGGAACCAGTTTGTGTCTTTGAGTTTTCTGACCTTAATATTTTTGAAGAAAACAGGCCAGTTATTTTGTAGAATAATGCTCAATTTGTGTTCATCTCATGTTTCCTCATGATTAGATTCAGGTTATGTTATGTTCTTTTTTGCAGGCTATTTTTTTTTTTTTTTTTTTTGGGATCCCCCGGAAGACATGTTGTGTCCTTCTCAGTGTATTATATTAAGAGGCACATAATTGGTTTGTCTTAATATTGGTTATGTTAGGTTCGATGACTTGGTCAAGGTGGTGTCCCTTTGTATTTAGTTAAGTTCTTTTGGGGGGGATACTTGGCAACTATGTGGTCAATCTTTAACTTACTCATTTTTCTTTGATTATTTAGGATTCTGTAAACAGTATTATCAAATATCTACTTAGTTTTCATGTTTTTTCTTTTATAATTTTTTCTTTTTTATAGTTGTTTAAATCAAGATCCAAATAAGATTAATAGGTTATGATTGATTGATAGTACTCTTCAGTGTTTTTTTCCTTGTCTGTTCATTTTTTTAATTGATACATCATTCACGTAGCATGAAATTCATTCTTTTGAAGTGCACAATTGAGTGGTTTTTAGTATACCTACAAACCTCTGTAAGTATTACCACTATCTAATTTCAAAATGTTTTCTCCACTGCAAAAGGAAACCAGTTACTTCTCATTCCCCCTTCCTCTCAGCCTCTGGAAGCCACCAGTACACTTTCTGTCCCTATAGGTTGTCTCTTCTGGACATTTCATATCAAGGAATCTCATAATATGTGCATGTGTTTTTTGGTTTTTTTTTTTTTTAAGTAAGTTCTGTGCCCTTCCTGGGGCTTGAACTCAGGAGATCCAGAGTCGCATGCTGTGCCAGCGGAACCAGCCAGGTGCCCCTAATAAAAATAATTTGTGTCTGTATTTTAAAAATTTAGCATAATGTTTTCAAGTTTTTTCCATGTTATTGCCCGAATTCCTTCATTAGTTTTTATAGCTGAATGATATTCGGATGGGTAAACATTTTGTTTATTCTTCAATTGATGGACAATTTGGGTTGTTTCACTTTCTAGTTATCTTGAATAACTAACTATTGTGAACATTCATGTACAGATTTTTGTGTGGATATTGATTCATATTCCTTGTCTCTGTCCCTCAATATTTGAAGATAACTGGTTATTCATTCTGTAGATTCCTTTGGTCTGGAGTTGTTTTTTCATCTCTGTTGTATCCTTTACCATGTTTT